AGGTGTGTGCCGCCACCTGTATGATTAGCAAGGTGTCACAATTGTTTGCCTCTCACCATGTAGTATACAAAGCACAATTAACTACTGGGTCTCTATTACTTTTTAACTCAAATACCAGCCCTTTGAACAGAAGGGGAGAGAGATGATGATCTCACAAAGAAAAATGAAGCAGAGAGGGGAATATGAAGTGCTGAAAAGAGAAAGCTTACAATATTAATTAGAGTAGCCATGTGACATTTGATAAACACTTGAAATGAATATTATTTGCAGGAAGGGCACCTTGTGAAGGGAAGTGTAGAGGTTCTAAGGAAGGAGCAAGCTCAGCAAGTATGAACAGAACAGTGTGGCAGAAGCCCAGGACTTGAAGAGAGATGATCTAAGGATTACATTGGGCCTTGATGGTTGTACTTAGGAACAGTGGCTTTTACTGTGGAAGCAGAAGAGGCCAAAGGGGATGCATACAATGTGACTTGTGAGAGGCTAAAAAGGACCCACACAATGTGGTTTATGTGTTAGCTTGATACTCCCGAGGGTCGGTAGAGAACAGCTCAGGTAAGATAGGAGGAAATCTTGATTCAGGGCATTAGCAGTGGACTCTGAAGATTGAAACCTTTCTTAAAAGCCAGTGGCCTTAAAAACTATAGCTGAAGCTCCAACTATGAGAAATCTATACAATTCATTAACCCTCAAATTAGTCCTTATCTGGTAATACAAGGAAATAATTCAAAGTAACTTATTTGCTTTAAGATGTTTATATGTAAATTTTGGTACATAAAGTCATATAATCTATATATTATTAAGATACCTTGATAGCTAAAAAAATTCAGTGCAAAAGAGTGCTATATCACTTTTAAAATTAACTACATGGTTTATGCCAATATGAGAAAGTAAAGCAATAATTTATGGAGCAGACAGAACACAAATCTATATTACATTGTTTATTTAAAATTATTTCCACAATAAAAAGGGCCTAAAATAACTGGAGTCCTGCCATAAAGCTTGTGAAACAAGTGCTTCTCAGTGGTTTTTATTAGTTCATAGTGTAAAGTTC